GTGAGCGTCGGGGTTCCGTTAACCTGCATATTACAGATTAAACTCCCGGATGATCCGGGAGATTCGAACGTCTCGACTTTCCCGAAGAAGGCGAGCTCGCCCGGAGTTTACCGCGCCAACGAGAGCGAGCTGTTCGAATTTTGGACGGTCACGAACCAACGCTTTTCTGACCCGTCAGCCTATCCTGAGTATTCCGATATAGCTGTCCTAACCTTCCACCCGCCGATCTTGCCGGAAAGCATCAACGGTATCGACAAGAAATCTTTAGCGCGGGACACGTACGACGAGATGGCTCGCGCGCTGCGCGGTTTGCATCACCTTCACTGGCAGCACGCTCGTTATCTGGGTAGCATGAAACTGGAGAAGAGGATCCTCGAGACACGCAGCGGGCCGATAGATACCAGCATATACGAAGAGGCACTGAGCGATGTACCCAACGCATACGTCGACGTGCCGTTGATATTATGCGCGATGCTACTGCAGGTCGAATCCGATCTCGCGGGATCTTGCCATGATCGGCGCCCCGTCGAACGAAACGCGGAACTTTGCGACGCCGATACGAGCCGCGAAGACGCATCGAGCAGTCGCGAGCGGACGCTTATCTACACCATACGGGAAAAACTCGAGCAGCTCGATCGCGAGTATGAACTCGGCGACGAGCGCACCGATCGATCGCCGCGACCTCCCGATATCGAGGTCGTGCCGCACGGAGATACTCTCGGCATCATCACTCGTCACACTGACCGTCACATGTCTGCTAAGCTGGTCGACGGGGTCCTACGTATCCTGCGGGATCCGAGGATAACGAGTAGCTGGCGGGATCATGAACCACCGGAGAAAAGCAAGGCCGAGATGTACTCTTGTCACTTGGGCAACATCGGCCGAATGTTCGATCGAGGTCGGACGGTCAGTCGCGACGAGGTCGCGCATTACCTGCACCTCCTCATGTTCGACAAGTTGATTTTCTCGGAAAATAAACGCGAGCGAGAAGCACGACGGACGGGAAACGAAACACAAACGAGGACGCGAGAGACGCGACCGACGAGAACTGCGACGAGGACGGCGAGGAGGTCGCGGAGGAGCGCGTCGAATCTCCCGTCGCTCTCGACGGTTACGTGCAGTTTACGCGCGTCCAGGAGTGACACCGCGATCGATTACGGAGAGCCGGTGGTCGCGCTCACCGAGTGCCCGCTTTTATTCGCACTAACCGACACCAGAGAAACGCTGCTGCCGGGATATTTGTACAAGAATGTCTTCTCGAAGCGGCGAAGTTACGAAAGACCAACTATCGAGGAATACGAAGATGTCGAGTTGCTCTCGAGTCGGGTTTTCTCGCAGATCGCCCGCGAATGTTCCCAAAGTTTCGATCGCTTCGCGGTCAGATACTTCGAGCCGACGGATACGGTGCTTCTTTATTTCAGCAACAATGGCGAGGCCGCCGACGCTCTGTCCGAGGAGACGCGCCGGCCGGCGATTCTACGCACGCCCGTTCGATTCCGAGACTTCTGCAAATACATCGCGCGCGAGGAAGAGAATTGGACGAAGCGAGAAACACTGGAGATAGGCCGATCGGAGCTGACAGGAAGATTTATGAGAGAGCCCGCCGCGGTGGGAGGCGACGCGATCATATTCGACGACGAGTGCTTCGTGCTTCCGGGCTCGCTGAAAGCGCGCCGTCTCAAGGAGGATCGCGAGGCGCGCGAGAAGATTTTCGAAACGAACGTATCGCGCGAGGAGCAGGTCCAGCAAGCTGGAGAAACGACGGGACAGATGCGTGACGGGGCAGCGTCGACGACGGGGAACGAGGGGGGGAGCGGGCGGGCGGATGTGAGAGTTACGAGCGGAAAAGCATCATCGATGACGGGGAGAAAATTGGCCTCGGAGATAAATGACGTCGTCGATACGTCCCTAGCGAAAAAAATTCTATCGCCCCGATGTGCCGAGCAGGATGAGGAGGGCGGGCGAGACGGCGAGCCTCAGGACCCCGTCGGCTACGATCTGGGGCGCGCTCGCGTTCAATTGAATCATCGCGCCGCGAGTTTCTCCCTGCGCGACGACATCGCGGTGCGGGTCGAGGTCGACGACTGGCTATACGGTGACTTCGACTTGCGCGTCGCCGTCGCTCTGCGAGGCTGCACCTTGCGATTGTCCGGCGGAAGAATGGATCGCCGTCGAGACGCGTTTCACTTGACGACGAGGAGGCGGGGGATCGTGCTGGCTTTTCGCCGGGACCGGCAGCCGGGTATAATCGGGCGTAATCGCTTATTGATCGAATGTTTGCCGGACGACGATATATTGCATATACAGCGGATAAGACGGGCGACGTCTGGCGACTGTCTCTCTCGCGGAGACAAGTTTCGACGGGGAAGGCCAGAGAGGGAGGGACGGGCGCGGTTAAAGTTAGAACTCAACTTAAACAGCTAAGCGTCCTCGCGTTTGTTAAATATTTATTTCCCCCTGCCGGTGTATTTGTATTCCCAGCCGCGGAGAACTCGAGCCTCGATCGTCCACGGTGGAATTCGCCTTTCAACTTTTGTGCTTCGTGGCCTTCGGGATTATTGATAGAACCAACTACCGGGGACGGTGGCAAAAATCCATTTTGCATTCGGCAATCGTACGTCTCGAAATGTCCCGCGCGCACAGGTGCAGCTCGTGAAGTCCGTCGGAACTTTCTCAGGAACGGAGCCGTCCTAAAGCATCTGGCCGACAATACCGTCGTCATCCTCCGTCCCAACGGCGTCATCGTGACGTGCACGGACTTCAACAAGCCACGATCGCGCGAATCCGAATCCGAATCCGCCGCCGCCGCCGCCGCCCGTCCCAGTCGGTCGGTTGTAAAAAGTAGATACAAAAATGCGGGTCAGCCGCGCGGCGCCGAACGAGGATTTTCCCAGTTAAATCGCGCCGATTCTTTCGTAGCCGAGCTCCCGACGAGGAAGAACAGTTCGAAGCAATCGACGGCGTTCGAGCGTGAGGAGGAGCGGCTCGTGGATCCCGCGCACGACGACGAATCGATCGCGAACGCCCGGCCGACGAAACGGCGAAACGAGAACACGCCAGCTGGAGGACGCGTCAATTTCACCGTTAAGTATCGTTTCGACCGAAACGATCCGCACAGTGCGACAACAACCGAGATTCCGTCGACGATAAGCCCCGCCCTCCGCGCGGCGCAGCTTTATCATTATCAGTCTCCCTTGCTTCATCATTTCAATCAATGAGTCGCGTTGCGAAATCTCGTCAATTTCACGGGGGATCTCGCGAAAGAGGCTTGCATCCAAGTACCGTCGCAGAGAAGGTGCTTAATTCCCTCGCGAGTTACGTCTAAAACGCTTTGTCTTAGAGCAACGGAGACGATTCATTAATAACAGGGGTATTTGGCGCCGGTGAAGTGTTACGCTACTCGGTGGTGAATTACGACGGCCGGCGCTACGAGGTGCTGAACGATCTGGTCGTAAGTGAACGCGATCGATTGCTCGTCAGGACAGCTTCCGACTACGAGGTCAACGAGATATCCGTGCGTCGTGCCGACGGTACTGATACGTTATTCCGTTTCAACGGGGATCTAGTCGTCACCTTTCCCGGTACGCCCTTTCCCCGCGCGACTTCGTCAATCCCTCAATGTAGAATAGCGGAAAAGATTTCCAACAAATTACGCGAGAGTGCGAGCACGATTGTAAAATCGCTGTATGGCCTGTTGAATCGCGTCGGAGACGCGAGTAGGAGCAAGAAAGCGAGCGACGGCTCGTCTCGTTTCACTTTCCCCTCGTAAAGAATAAAAAGTTGCCCGAGAGAGAGAGAGAGAAAGAGAGAGAGAGAGAGAGAGAGAGAGAAAAAGAGAGAGAGAGAGAGAGAGCATTCAATGTAAAATTCTGTTATCTCGCCGTAACGTTTCATTCGTCATTTTACAAAGAGCCAAGTTTCGCGTCGCGGCGCGTCTCGCGGAAAACAAATGCGCGCGATAACTCGTACATAGAAGAGCGTCGTTTTATTCCGTCACTCTTGTTGCATCTCTTCACTTTCGAGCGCGGCGCAAGTTGCGCGCGTAATCAATCTATCGATAAATATGACGGGATCCGGGATGCACGCTTCTCCCCCTCTCTTGCGGTGAAACTCCGTCCGGGAAGCCGAGCGACAGCCGAGTCACTCGGACTCGAGTGTGCGATTTTCACTCGTTCACAGAGCGAATCCTCCGTTCCGAATCGCCGAGTGAATATGTTCACTCGAAATTGAAGAGCGAACCCACGATGTGTTCCACTGTCGCGGGAACAAGTTCGCTCTAATCGACCGAAACATCTACTCGTCGACAGAGTCAGAATCCACTTTAAGCTCGAGTGAAACATTCACTCTCGCGATTCCGAGAATGGCGATATACTCACTGCCGCTTCGAATGATTTTTCACCGCTCTCATGAGTGAGACTTCAAGAAATATTATTACTATTATTATTATTATTATTATTAGAGAATTCTCCTTGTATCTGACACATTCGTTGCCAGCCAGTCACGATACGACACATGATATAAAACACACACTTTGCCCGCTTAACATATTTTACGCACAATTATGTTATAAATGTTATACATGTTTGCGTATTAACATGCGTTAATACTAGGGCAGTTACTCTTCGAAGCTTCGAAGGATGCGAGGCGGTAGGAAGGATTCCGAGCCTGCGCTCTTTGTTTCTGCGTACATGCACTGCCATCTCAGTCATATATTCTATATTCCGTGGATAACAAAAATATCGTGTTTCGATTCCCGAATACCCTCGAATTCTCGAAATTTCGAAGTTCAAAGACTGAAACTTCAATCGTCGACAAGGTCGAATATTTTATGTATATCGAAGCTTCGAAGAAAAATTACACCTCTAATTAATACGCGCCGTATCAAGTACAATTTTTTTTTGAAAATACAACGAGCGACTCGCAATTTGCTCGATTCCAACGCGATAGCGAACGTACTGACGGCCGTTTGTGGCCGTCGCGAATCTATTTTCAGACGGCACGCGTATCATCAGCGGCTGCACGATCGAAGAACAGCCAGTGACTTGCGAATGGTCGGAGGACGAGTTACGGCGGTATTTCGGATCCGCGGGGGCGGAAGAACGCGACAACGGGGTCGCGTCGCATCGCGAGGACTCACCGGCCGCATCGCTCGTTAAGCAGCGAAGAGAGAGGCCAGCGAGGGGATCGATCGCGAATGACGGCTTTGTCTCGATCTTGTTGACTTTCCGCATGGAACACGAGGACTACGCTACAGTGTCGTACGATCAATCGACAATCGGGTGTATTTTATCGATGCCCGACGATCTTCGTGTCAGCATATCGCCAAGAGGTCATTACGAAGTTTCAATGGGGGCCGAAGTTAATCTGAAGGTAATCAAAGGCACACGTACGAGGACGCGTGCTCGATAACGTAGATGTAATTTCAGCGATAACTACGACAACGCTAACGTAACGCCACGATTTTCACGTGCTCTCTCGTCGATCCCTTCTTGGTTGATTCTATGCTCGTCGTTGTCGGCGATGACGACGACGACGACGATGACGACGACGGCGACGACGACGGCGACGGCGACGACGACGACGACGACGACGACGACGAGGCCGACGAGATGCCACGGCGGAAAACAAACTTTCTCATTATGTCTTTCTACATTTTCCTCCGGGGTGTTTTGCCATCGTGCCTGCTTTCTTTCTCTTTTTACATTAAGAACATTACGCGCTATTGTTAGGTCCGCGACGACAGTGCGGTTCTCTCGAAGGAATGCGCCACTTGCGGCGGAAGATCGATGTCGACTTTTGAGTTCAACGAGTTCGCCGATGCGGCTCCGCGGACGATTCTCACGACCATCGATATTCTTGGAAATCTACTCGAGATTAAAAGCGACGGCGCTACGCGTTATCATCGCGCGGACTGTGAGCACGACGGTGGTGTTCACGTTGAACGCGGCGAAGACAGAAGAAATAATGAAAAAGAAGACGAGGAGGAGGAGGAGGAGGAAGAGGAGAAGGAAGAAGAAGAAAGAGCGGAAGTCGTCAACTCGGGGGCGAGGTTCTGCTGCAAGCACCAACGATATTGCGAGAAGCTCGGGTTTCCAGCGAGAAGTCAATACAGAATTTTTGCGATGAATCGCGATCTGACAGCCTACGAGTACCTTCATCGATCGGTTAGACGCGAACAAGAGGTGGCAGCCGTCTTCGACGACGGGACGAGTATGATCCAGTATCCAATTTCACGTCGACCGGAACTTCGTCGCTTGATTACATTTGTGCCGGTGGAACTGGAGTTGAGATCAAAGGAAATATCGTACCACCGCCAGGTTAGATAATCGTGACAACGAGCGAGGCAGACTGAGAGACAGAGAAAAAGACAGAGAGAGAGAGAGAGAGAGAGAGAGAGAGAGAGAGAGAGATACGGTGTTATTTCATACCTATTAATAGATTGCCATATTGCGCCGGTTAAATGTCACGCTCTTTTGTGACGCGCGCGCGATTCGACGGGGGAGTGACCATAATTTTACGAGACGATTGAGAGACGTCTCTTTCGAAAACTTTTCCCGATTCTCTTCTCTGTGGAACGAGAAATACCAATGTTCAACTTCTTCCTCCGCTCATTGTGTCCGGATCGACGTTATTCAGCGGAAAAATAAACATCTCTCTTCTTTTCATTCCGTCGCCCCGGCCTCCATTCAAGAGAGAAATTTTTGTTTTATTTCTCCGTTAAACGATACTAAATACGACGAGCGGGGGAGGAAGTTAAGAAACGAGAATGAATGGCACCGGCCGGGCGCTTGTGTCAATCTCGAACGCTTAATGAATGTTTCATAACAATATGTGCAGGTTACATCGGCCGAGCGGACGGATTATGATGGAATTGAATTACGGCGGAGCACTTGTTCGTTCCCGTACAACTGGCTGTTCCCCTTCGGCAAAGGAGGTCGCGCAGTTCTCTCTACGAAAAGAAGACAGAATGAAGTTTCAGCAAGGCAGAATGAGCAGCCGTTGCCCAAGTTATTACGGGTGCGCGTTTTCTTCGGCATTAAGGAGACGGACGGAAGCGTCCTGATCGATATACAGAGGGCCATGGGACGCTATTGGATATCTGTTAGTAAACAAATTTAATATCTGATCTCTGGAAACACCTCTCATTTGTGCGCGTAAAAGTGTCCCCCCCCCGAAAGTTATCCAAGGTATTTCGCGTGTAAACACTCTCGCTACGGCTAACGCACGGTCGTATTAAGACCGTATCACACTAGCGACTCGCGGCTGCGACTGCGATTGCGATTACGTATAAAACAACACTGGATATAACCTTATTCTAATGATCACTGACTTTTACATATTAAATAAATGTGATTGTGACGAGCGCGCGTCACGTGATTATACGGAGTTCTGTGATTGGTTGCGACTGCGGCTGCGACTCACAGTCGTGAGTCGCAGCCGCAGTCGCAACCAATCACAGAGCTCCGTACAATCACGTGACGCGCTCGTCATAATCACATTTATTTAATAGTATATAGAAGTGATCATTAGAATAAGGTTATATCTGGTGTTGTTTTATGTGTTACATATTTTTTTTTAAATGTCAAAACAATTCAATGAGGAGATAGACTATTATTATTCGGTAGATCTCGTAGAATGTAAGCCCTTTCTCTGGGATTGTACGTGTGACAGTATGTGTAACAGTATTCAGCCGCAGCCGCGGTCGCCAATCGCAAGTGTGATTGGAAAACAAGAAATCGCAATCGCAAACGCAGTCGCAGCCCCGAGTCGCTAGTGTGATACGGTCTTTAGTCGGCGCAAGATTCGGGTACCAACGAAAAATTATCATCTCTACTTCCTACTCATCAGCTCCAACGGATCTTGTTACGTTTTATCTCATTGTTGCAATGCCCCGATATGTGTACGGTTGGTCTTGTCGAAAATCCTCGCATTACGGGGGTGCGCGAGAGCTTGCCCATCCCTCCGATTACATTTCTTCCGAGACTTTCTCTTCCCACCCAGGTGTTCCGTGATGGAGACAAATGCCGGCTATTTTACGCGACTGGAGGCAGTCGACCCGGCCAAGTTGAAAATGATTACGAGAGTTCGGAGAACGGCCTACCACTACGAGAGCTGGCTCTCGGCCTGAAAGCAAGTATCGACGTTCAGACGTACGTCGAAGGCCTTCAGGGTAAGCTCATTAAAGTGAGCACGGGAGCTCGTCGGCAGTCGAGCCGTCTTGCGGAGTTACTCCGACAAAGAGGCTCCGAGTATGAGGAGTATGAATGGTATAAACAGTGCAAAAGGAAACGAATTATTGCACCGTACTTTCGGAATATCGTCAATTCGTGTTACCTGTTACTAAGGGACCTTGTCGACGAGGCGGCGCGCGTATCGAAAAATCGCTCGCCCGTCGCGATGGAAAGTGGAGATGAATCTGTTAATCCATAAATAAATGAAAATCGAAACGAATTTATTGTCCATTAACAATGATGGGAGCGGAAAGTTTGTTAGAATTTCATTTCAAATCAAGCTCGATCAAGCTGAGTTTGACAATCGCATCGCCGAGACCTTACATGGCGTGTGACAACATTTCCTCTTTCGTAACAGCTAAGACGATTGCGCACGCGCGCGCGCTTCCTTTCGGCAAACTTTATTCGCGGACAAAACCCGAGTCGAAATTTTCGTTCCACATTAATCCTGCAAATTTCGCTAAACCCGAAGGATCAATGAAGAATCGTTCAATATTGACTTCCTACCCTGATGCTGCAGATGGCTGTTTACCGCTGTGTTTACTGCCGCTCTCCGTATTGAAGCTCCAAGACGTTGCGCGATCTCCGCTCGTTCAAAAATTGTTTAATATTTGCTTATCTCAGTATATTCTATACTAATATATTTAATATTTCTTCTTTCTTCGGTTAGCAATGTAAAAAACTATACAGTTTATTTAGTTGCAAATGTAGCGTACTGGAGATAAGCAAATATTAAATAATGAAATACAAGTCGATGAGGGAATAGGTGAAAGAAGAGACACATTTTATTCTCATGTCTTCCTAATTTCCTTTTTTCTTTTTTTGGCGTTGGAAGATTCGATGAGAATTTAATCAGCTCTTAAAAGAGCTGATTGAGGTAAAACGTCCAGTAGCCCCGCTATTATTCGCACTTATTGTCCGTTTTCGACATTATTACTTGAATTTTATCAAATGTATAGAAATTAAATTAAAGAAATAATTTGAATAATTAATTTAAAAAATAATCAATTCCTATGGCTACTGCTCATTTTAGCCCACAAGCTGTAAAGAAGAAGAAAACAATTATGTGTCCAATAATGCTGTGTGTACGAATGGAGACTTTAATTTGGATTCTTTCAATAACAAATTTGGATTCTTTCAATAACAAAGCCAAACGTAAATAAGAAAGTGTTGACGGACAGTACACAATGATGTATAACAAACAAAAACCGTACTCGCGGCCCAAAGAGCATTATTAGACGTAAAATTCCATTGCCATTGCGAAATTTACATTACATTCTAAGGCCGTTATGCACAGTTGCAAATTATTCAGATTCTTTGAATGAGGACATTATTGCAGATTCGTATTCATGGGCTGTCATTCGCCTGCTGTAATCGATATGATTCTTGTATGAAATAATATAAGCACAACTAGAGTTTAACAAATAATCGGAAATTCATGAAATTATAATAATTTGTCAAATAATGACTGACTATGAATGCCGGCCTATATTTCGACTCGGGTATCTCTTTGTACTTGTAAGCTCGTTAAAACAAACGTCCGTTAAAAACGGAAAACTTGCCGTGTAATAAATGATTCGACACACCTTGAAGTATACGATGTATCTCTGTCCACGTCGCGACGTCCTGCGACTCTCCTCGACCTGGCATCCTGGCCGCTCCGTCGTGGCACTGACACTGGACACTCGCGTAATTACGATTCGACCAGATAAACGAGTTAATGACCGCGAAATCCACATGAGAGTCCGATTAAATAGTTCAATAGCCAGCGAAATATTTTAATCAATCGATGGAAATGACGCGAATAATACATCGACACATGTGCGCCATGTGACACGCGTATCGACTTTAGACGCGATAAAATATTTTGGAAAACGCGCAGCGCGTGACAACACGTTTGATCCTCATCAAGGTCCGGACTGTTTTGATTGTGTTATGACGCGACGCGCTCGGCTTTATGCGGTCACGGCTGGCTGGCGATAGAGACGAGTCGGAGAGAAGAGTTTCTTACGCTTCTTACCCATTCTTTTTGCACTTGTCGCGAGTTTGCACTCTTCTCCATTGTTACGTCGGTTTCACGTTAGTATTACGATGGTGCAGCTAAACCGGTCGTAATAGTGTATTTACACTAATTAGGACAGTACATTTGCACCACTCATCGACTGTTATACATTTCACGAGAAATAACATTCCTCGGCTCTTGAAGCATTTAATTAGATTCTTTGAGACACCCCTGGTAATTAACGCGCGTTTTTCTTGTTTTTTTAATTCTTTTTTTTCTTTTATCAGATCGTATCTGCGTGAGTGTCGATGCTACGAGCTAATATCCAAAGTGCGACCATGTAGTGCAACCAAGAGCACGATATGCTGCATCGGGAAACTGCAATAAAATTTATATATCAGAACAATGATAATTATACACTTCCAGATGTATAGATATGCGTTTAATATAGATATTTTTCTAACATTAATGAAGAAGCTGCACAATAAAGAAATTATAAAGAAACGCAATTTGTTGGTTTATTTATCCATCAATTAGATTTTCCTATTAATTTTTAGTAAAGTATCGAATATTTGTTTCTCGATCAGCAGTCGCGGAAGTTGTAGAATTAAGACATTGGTTGTTGAATTAGAAGTAAAAATTAAGTGCAGGTAGAGTATTCGGAATAGTCGAATATTGAATAATTCTAAAGTGGAATTTTTTAAATGACAACTGGGTGTGGAGAAAATGGTATTAAGTAAGTAACCATTTGCAGGACGGAATTACACAGGCTGCATTATAAGATTCTCTGGAAGTCCAATGGAACGTGTAGAATTAAATTGGAACCAAAATATCGACTCGAGAAATAACGTGAAAAAGGTTAATATTCCGCTATTTTCATTTTCCTTAAAGTAGAATCTTTCCGCTCTATTCCCCTCCCTCCTCCCGCCTTTTACTTTTATTACGCCAGAAAGGTTCTCTAAGCATCGCAACGTCTCGAGAGTCATTGCACTCGTCCCACATTCAAGTTTTTATCACCTGGTGATTTCGGCGCGTGACCGGAATACCGAAACGTCAAAGTCGAAAAAGGGGGCGAGAGAAGAGGGAGCCGGTGTTGTAAAGGAACGACAGCCGCCACAGTGCCATATGCCTCGTACATTACGTAGAGTCGTAAAAATATGACACGCATTTTTACTCTTTCATCGCGCACGCTGATGCTTCGTTTCGCGCAAGTGTGTGCCTGTGCGTGTTTGTATGTGTGTGTGTGTGTGTGTACCGTTCTCTTATTTTCATGGATTCATAGCAAATCATTGATTTTCTATTTAATCCGCTCACATCTCGAGCGCCTCCAATGACATTTATTAGAGACAGCAAGCCTTATCGCACGTCACCATTCCGACTTGTCACGTCACCATTCCACGTTTCCGTCTTGTTTCGATGCGACACATCGACGTTCCGAAATTGCTCATTATACTGCGGCAAATAACGAGTACCGTTATGAATCGGGTCCGACAATAACGGTAGTCGGCAGAAAGAAGCTCCGCGCGTCATAGGAAGAAATGACGCCGAATTGATTATAATGCGTTACGTCCCCGAGGACGCTAACTCGGGGGACCTATCTGCTGCCCTTTCGCTTGCGCGTTATCTTACGACGCCCGACGAACGCGCAATCCCATATATTTTTGTCGAAATACACGCACACACGGCTCTGTGATACAGGCTATATATATCTATCGACGGTGTCTTTGTAAAAACGCGACATAGCTCTCTCAGAGTCGATCTTTTTCCCTCGCCCGGAGTCTGTCGGTTTCATTCGAGAATAGGAACTCACGACGATACTTCGTATTTCCGACTGGCCGCGGGGACGCGCGTAAAATATTTCGCTCACGTACTTTTAACCTATATCATTTTCCCTTCCGAACGTTATACGGGGCAATAGGAAAAAAGGAAGGAATAGAACGAGAGCGAGAGTGAGACAGAGAGAGAGAGAGAGAGAGAGAGAGAGAGAGAGAGAGAAAGAGAGAGAGAGAGAGAGAGAGAGAGAGAGAGAGAGCGCGCGAGATAAAAAAAGGCATGATGTGTGCGTCATATTATAGGTTTTTCCCCGCATGTAGTGGTCCCGCAGGGTTGCCCTCTTCCTTTCAACATACTGACGTTCGCACACGTAACCATCGCGTATTCCATACGATATTGCCACCTACAGCACTATTATTATTCCTTACGCGGCTCTTAAGTTTTTAAACCAGTAAAAGCCGCCCGTAAAGGAAACATTATTATATAAGGGTATGAAATTTTTTTACGGTACGGCTCACAGCTGGCCGTGAAATTTGACTGGTTGGACGGAATAATGTCACGGAGATAAAGATAACACGTGCGATGCTGCGTCGCAGTTCGGTAGTGTAATTATTTTCACGCGGGACGGCTGGAGCGAACGAGAGATCTTCTCTTCGTCTTACGTGCATGACACAAAACGCTTGCGTGCGTGCGTGCGTGCGTGCAGCAACGAAGCTTTTCCGCGCGACAATTCGAGAATCGAGAGTCGAATTTCGAGAACGAAAAGTCGAAAAGCTCGTACACCAACTGCTTGTTTTCCCATCTCGATCTCTCGTGTAATGTTCCTCGCGCGAGCGCGACGCGGGGCGTTCGCGCCGCTTCTGGTTACGACAAAGAACCACTTTTGTAACGCATCGGCAATCCGCGAAAGAATAATGTCGCTGACTGGTCTAGCGTAGAGATCGTAGCCGAAAGGATAGAGAGGGGGCGGGGAGAGAAAGAAAGAGAGAGAGAGAAAGAGAAAGAGAGAGAGAGAGAGAGAGAGAGAGAGAGAGAGAGAGAGAGAGAGAGAGAGAGAGAGAGAGAGAGAGAGAGAGTACCATAGTACCACGGCATCGCGCAAATATATCTATCTACTCTGGCTGGGTCTTTCGCTGGCCTTGTGTATACGGACGTTTACGTATCGCGTTATTGGACAAAAGTTGCACCATCGGTTTTAGACGCGACGCGATCTGATATATCGCCGGGGACGGATTTTTCGTTACGAGAGGGAGAAACTACGAGACGGGTCATTTTTCTTAGACTGCAGCTGGATGTCGTAACGCGAAAAGCGCTCTCTCCCTTTGCCGCCGGCGGCACCTTCCTCCCCACGGCCTTTCTCCCTCAGCTCTGTTCTCCTTCTCTCTCACACTCGCTCTGAGACAACGAAATATATGAACTCTATACGCTTTACGAGCCAACGGATTGCGAGCCGTTCTGATCGATGTCCCCGGTGCGGCTAAGTATGACCGGTGGGTGCATTTATACGGTGCACGCGCAATTTTTGTTACTGTTCGCGATACAAATGTTTTCCCGCAAAAACACGGGACGATCCGTCGTCATCGTTACTGTAACAATGCGCGAGCGATAAGTAATTTTCGACCGGGGCCGGCGGTGGATTTTTGTTTCGCTCGTTTAAATAAACGCGCTGCGCGAGCGCCTGGATGCGCTGTACAAATTGAATCTGCAAATATGAGACATTAAAAGTTCATCTCGCTGTCTGTATGTACGGAATTATCGATCACGAGAACTCTGCGTGGGCCGTGTCGAAGTTAATTATGAGGCGTATTACCGATGCGTTAGCTCTCCGCTCACGAGGCGACGAGCAACCGCTCTCGCCGCACGTAAGCAAGAAAAATATAACTCTCGATGCATATTTATGCGATTCCGCGTGTAGAATTATCTTTTCGGTTGCGAGTCACTCTCTCGCACATACGCGCGATCAGCATATGCGTATTTGTATGCGTGTTATTTACGCGTTTCGATCGATATCGCTTCACGGCGTTAGTTATATCATGTATAGTGAGGCGCTGCACGTGATATGATATTAAATTTGCGTATAACCCATAAAACATTCATTTGCGAATTTTCATTGTTTCAGCCAGCACTCGATATTATTTAAAGCGCAATTTATCAGCTTTACGCTTATTGTTAGGGAATATTCGGCGATATCAATAAAGCCCTGTCATAATTTAATCCGGCGTTTATAGATTCCAAATACACATTTTAATTCGTACGACAATCCGGAATGAATCTCTCACCGCATCGATATGAATTCGCGCTCGATTTTTATATGCGCAAACAGAGGGAGAGAGAGAGAGAGAGAGAGAGAGAGAGAGAGAGAGAGAGAGAGAGAGAGAGAGAGAGAGAGAGAGAGAGAGAGTGAGAGAGAGAGAGAGAGAGAGAGAGAGAGAGAGAGAGAGAGAGAGAGAGAGAGAGAGAGAGAGAGAGAGAGAGAGAGAGAGAGAGAGTGAGAGAGAAAGATTTCTATTACTTATTGTGCACACCATTTTTTTACACTTCTTTTATTCCTATTATACAATGGTACTCATATAAAATGGTGCTGAATATATGATACCATTTATAATACGATATACACTATATATATATATATATCGATAGTTTACACATTTTGCAAGCATTTATTCGCGTTTGTAAAATGTGTAACCTATCGAATTTCTTGTCGTCGTAAATCCAACATATTTTTTTTAATTTTCCAGGTCGGCAGAGTGATGGCGAATTGATAATCTTTAACGTAGTGAGTATTTTTAGAGTATGTTGAATGATTGAAATAAAATTTTACCGAAAAAAAAAAAAAACAGACGGTTTCACGTTTTCCGATCCGCACCGGGAACTACCGTTCTAAGATTAATGGCACGGCATTTGTATAACGGGCCGGTCGTGATTCGCAGCGCGTTAATCGACGAGGCGAAATGATTCCGACGATCTGGAATCAAAGAACGCTAATTCGATTCTCTTGAATTCCTTCCTTATTAAGAGAAGAAGTAACGAAGTTGGACTTGGCGTTTGAGAAATGAAACATATTCGCGGGCATCGCGTCGATGGAAGTGGCTGCTCCCCTCCCCTCCTCGCCTCTCGCTTTTCCTAGAGTTAATTCGGGTACGATAATTAGAGAGTTAATTTGTTTATGAACACACTGGTGCATTCTTGCGCACCATCGGCCCGCTCGCTCTTCGCGAGCGTGGCGATGCTCGATGCCTAAGCCGATTAATTTTTACGATCCCAGCGAAATAATGGCGCATTGCGGCGAGATGGGGTAATTTACTCGTCGGTTACGGCGACGGAAGGTGATCACTTATCTAACTAAAGAGCAACAGCACGCGGGATACACCGACGTCGTTATTATATCGCGTCGCATTGTTCTTAAACACCTCGCAAATTGAGCGGCCGCGGCAACTTTTCGGACAAGCGCTAAATCGCGAAAGTCTTAACAGGTTTTTAATGAGTTCGAAATAAGTTCCCGGATTTAATGGAATAAAAGTGTGGCCATCGACTTACAGCTGGATTTAATGACGTGGTATTTTAATTAAATAGTTCGCGCTATGTTTCCTTCCGACGAGCGTTATAACAACGGCGGATCTAAGCTCGCGAACGCGCGCGCACGCTGAAAGGAA